AGTTCTCATTATTCCACCCTTTACAAAAAAAAAAAAAAATCTTATTTCTTTTCCAAACTAGTTATTGAAAACACAGAAGTTAGTCGCGAAAGAGTCACAAAATTTCTTGGTGTTCTCATTGACGAAAATATTACCTGGAATAAACATATTGCCTATATTGGCAGCAAAATATCAAAAAGTATTGGCGTTCTATATCAGTCACGGGATTTACTTAATAAGCATCATCCAAAACAAATATATTTCAGTTTTATACAAAGTTACTTGAATTACGCGAATATTGCGTGGTGTGGTACATCTAAAAGCAAGCTTGAAACACTCTATCGAAAACAAAAACATGCCTTAGAATAATGAATTTTAAAAAGAAAAAACGAATATGCAAAACCACTGTTCGAAATTATGAATATTTTTACATTATACGAGATAAACGTTTATAAAATTTTATGTCTCATGTACAAAAGTAAATTTCAACAATGCCCCTCAATTTTTAATGATCTTTATGAAATAAAACCTAACATTAAATATACGTTACGCACAACAGGCTTAATTGAACCATTGTGCAAAACTAAACAAGAACAATTTAAAATTACGTATCGTGCTCCGTATATCTGGAATAAAATCTTAGCAAAATATAGTAATTTACGAGGTGTAAACAATATAAATTGCTTTCAAAAACTAATAAAAAAGAATATTTCAAACTATACAAACCTTACTAATGATTTCTTTTAAACTGCTTTGTTTTTTTGTTTGTTTGTTTTTTTGTTTTTGTCTTTTTACATTGAAAAGTTTTTGGTTTTAACAATATTTACCTTAGTTAATTAAGTTTTGATTTTAACACTATTATAGGAATTTAATATTGTAAAAACATAATTACAACGGTTCTTGATGATAAGACTTAATGGTCTTCTGCAAGTTTCCCGCGTTTTTATTTATTTTTGTATAACTAACACTTATTATTTTGTCTTTGATTTTTTATATTTATAACTGGTTTATTTTTGAAAGAATAAGAGTATCTGGTATTATATTACTTTAATTGTAACAAAAACGGAAATTAAATTAAATAAAAAAAAAAAGTATACTGTAAAGTATACCGTAAACAAAACTATTTTTTGGCGAAGCCGTAAACAAAACTTTTTTTGGCGAAGCCGTATCATTGTTTATAAAGGTTGTTTCTGTATACTTTTAAAAAACGTGTTTGTTTTTTTATTAAATGTTTTTGTTTGTGCGTTTTATTATAATATTTACTATATGTTTCATTATAAACAATATTTTTAGAAATAGATATAAGGTAAAGAGCAGCACAAACAGCGTGGTATAAAAATTTATTGGTGTAACACAATAACAAATTAACAAACTAAAAAAAATATATTTAAAAAATAAATTAAACAAGTGACAAATTTGATTTAAAAAAATAATAATTTGTGGATACTATGAATGGCTTTTTGAGAATAAAGATTTATACACAAGATTCTCATATATTTTTTCATCTTGTAATACTCTTGTCAAGAGTATTACAAAATGAAAAAATAAATGAGAATCTTTTGTATTGGATCTTTATTTTCGAAAAAATTGTGCTGTCAATTTTTTCAATAAGAAAAATACAATAAATTGACAATTAAATGCATAAATACCTAAAAATGTAAAATAAGAATGCAGTAAGTAGCACAAAGTTTGTATTTATTTATTCTGATATACAATTTACTTATGTTGTTGTGACAGATTAAAAGATGTTTTTTTTTTTTAATTTAATTATCAAATTTTTATTTGCTATATTTTTGCTTGAGTAAAAAATGCTTAAACAAATCTAGTTTTTTTGCATGTTGTCAAATAGCACCTGTATTTCCTTTTTTTTTTATAAACTCTAAAGTACACTTTGGCTTCTTTAATTATTGTCAAATTTTTTCTCTCTCAATTATTAGCAAGGTCTCGGAGTCTATAATTAACAAACTTTGAGTATCTCATCTTGAGCCTAAAAACTCTCTGACAGTTAATTTGTATTTTAATATGCTCTGTATCTGATTCATTGACTGTTTTAACAGAAAATGTTTTAACAGAAATGTTTTATTGTTAAATATTTAGAGAAAATGAGGCAAAGGTTATTGCTCTTGACATATTAAAGACTTTCAATAAACTCTGGCATGCTGGTCAATTTTATAAGCTTTTTTTCATATTGTATATCTCAGAAGGTTTTTGACATTCCTTTATATATCATAAATTATTCCTTATTAATTGTATAAAATTGTATCAAAGTTCTTCATATTCTCCAAACATAATTTACAACTTTTTAAATTATTTTGCTAGTTTTAATAGAGCGTTGCAGAATGTCAGTAGACTTCTTAGATTATTTACTTTAACTTTTAGTTCAGATTTTATTTCAGGTGTTGGACTTTTATTTACATCAATTACTTTTACAGTTACATTTTTGTTATAATTACAGTTTTGTATCCTTATAGTTACAATTTTTGCTGAGTTTACACAGTTGAAGATAAATTTTTAAAGATTCACCTCATGTTTGATGTCTTCTAAGTAATTGATGCCTTGCAAAAATTTCATTAAGGGTTTTTAAGTATAAACTTTCCATGTTCCAATAACACTTTCATAAGAAAAACACACTTCAATGTAATCATAAGACAAAATTAATGGTGGAGCAAAGTTTGTATGGAGCATCATCTTCACGATACTCAATTAAATTCTCAAATGTTTGCTTCCAATGCTTGTAGTAGTTGAGCAATAGTACGCAATCTGCTCTGTTGTTGTCATGGGAGACACATCATACAATTTTCCACACTTTTCCTAGCTTTTTTAGGCAATGAACAACTGTGGATTGATTGACATTGAATTCCTTCTCCAGCGTTTATGTTTTTACGCTCTTGTTCTTTTCCACGGCTGCCAGAAGAGCTTGATCATTTAAATCCAATGGTCAACCTCTTCCCAGTTTATCCTCAGAGCTGGTATTGCTTGATTTAAAACAAAAAAACCACTCCCTACTCTGGCTTTTTCTGGCTTTTCCTTTTTCCATCGCAAAGTAGCTGTGCTGCTTTCCATCCTCTCTCAAAGTGGTAGGGCATAATATGGCAATTATGACTATGCTTTTAAACATGAATACTTTTAAAAGAGAAATTTTTAGAGAAGGTTATTTTAATACAAAAATAATAAACAAAACGCTAACTTTCATTGAAAAAAAACCTGCTGATATAATTGGTGGATAGTTATGTACCAACTGCTGGATAATTATGTACCTCAATATTTTTTTACTTAAAATGTATTCTATTTTTTATTTTACTCTTCTTTTTTTCATTTAGTTTTATCTTTGTCATTGCCTATTAGTAAGGTTATCTTTTCTATTTTAAATATTTTAAATAAACCCAGCCAACATTGACAGACGGGTACTGTATGGTTTTTGTCTGGGCTTACAGAAACGGGATTTTGACAGGTAAGTGTTTTGGTTTCCAGACTGGTCCCATATATGTAATAAAATCAAGCATATTTGCTTGATTGGGTTTTATCTGGTTTTTATCAGGGCCGATGAATCTGAGGATTTTACGGGTTTCCCATAAGGTTCCCTAAAGGTTTAAACTGATAATTAAAATAATCATAACAAAACTTATTCGATGGTTGACATTTATAATTCGTATTGTGCGTGAAATAAGATTAAAATTTTTACTTTTATGCATTATATTTTTGGCGGACTTGTAAACGGCGCACCCCCCTAAGTTTAAAACACGTTTTAACATAAATCATATTTTACTGACCTAGTAAAATTAATTAATTAAATTAATTGAAGTGTAATTACACCAATTGATCATAATTAATGAATAGAAGTAAATGTAAATGCTTTGACTAACCATTAGGGATTGACACAACGAAATATACATTCATTAATTTACCGTCAGAATTGGGACAGTTTTGGCCACAATTGTTAGTATTTCATAGGGGTGCGTCGTTTACATGTCCGCCGACATTTTTTATTATTATTTATTATTCCACCAGAGACATACTGCTAAACATCTTCAACTAAGTAATTATAGACTGGCAATTTACTTATATAAATTAAAAATAATATAATTTTATTAAGTTTATTAAGTTTATTAAGTTTATTAATTTATTAATTTATTAATTTATTAATTTTATTAAGTTTATTAAGTCTATACATAACGTAAACAAGGCTACTTATTTAACGATAGATTTAACCTACCTAACGGAAGCTTTACGCCGTATCTGTGCATGCGTTACGCTTGCGCAGAACTGACTGTCTACTTATTTAACTTATTTAAGGGAGTTTCTAAAACGCAGAATTCTATAAAGCCAAAACGCTGAAAAACCTTCTCGGAGAAACTGAATAAAAAACGGAATGAAAGCAATGAAAAACCGGTAGTCAACCCCCGCATTAATTTTTAAATTGTTGTTTTGAGTTCTATTATAAAATTCAAAACATGTAAAATTAAAAAAATAGTGTAGCAATAAGTTTTGTATTGATATGGCATCTGTGTTTTTCAGCAATAAGGTAAGTTTAGTGGAACCTGCACAATAAGAGAAAAGTCTGTCACTAATAATTAATATGCACAATAATCTGTTATCACAGCAAAAGTAAAATTTTTATTTAGTAAATTTTTTGTTGTTAATTTTTTCTATATGTTTCTTTATTCTGTGTTAGTTAACACAGGTTAAAGATTAATTAATCTGTGTTTTTTAATCTGTGTTAGTTTTATTTTTAATTAAAAAAAATTAGAGATTTGAAAGAATTGAAAGTTTCTTTTTTTAGTTTTTTTTTTTTAATTTAAAATTTTTATTTTTATAATATAAAGTAATCTTTGAAGTTTGTTTAAATAGTATGTTTGATCCATCAGTTTGACAAACTTCAAGTACGTTATTTTACTTATATAAGGAAAACAGCCATGTTTTCCTTAAATAAGCTGAAACAGCAACAAAAAGCAATATATTTATCAGCAGTATAGATATTTTACATAAGAATGTTATAAATTACAAAAAATATATCTGCAGTCTACATCCTGGATGGTTCACTCTTATATAGCCTGTCTAAATTGAGGAGAGCGATCATAAACAAAACAAAACATAAATAAATCAAATAAAATAAATAATGCACACACAGAAGGTTACTATTAGTCAACATTCATTTTTATATCTTATATGTCTTCTATGGTGATACATATTTTATAACCAGTGATACAATTGTTGTTTCTATCAGGGGCGGATTAGGCTTTTGAAAAGGCCTGGGAAATGCTATCATGAAAAAGACCCACCAAGTGACCTTTTTTTTTTAAATCGTATTCGCTTGTAACCCCTCACTTTTAAATACTTTTGTAACACTATTGAACAATAAGGACTTGTATACACTTGTTTAAAATCAATAAAGATGTCATTTAAGTACATGTGTTATATTTGTTTTATAAATTCATATTTAAATCACAAAAACTCAAAATCATTAAAACAGTAACTTTTTTAATTCACCACTCGATTTAGCAAGTTCATCAATAATTTCATCGTTGGTTATGTTACTCAATATGTCCATTTCAATGCACATCATCAACAGTGAGTCCAAGTGATCTTCTGTCAACTGACTTCGCAATCTTGTTTTGACACATTTCAACTTGCTGAAACTCCTCTCACAAGCCACTTGGGTAATTGAAATTGTGAGCATGAATTTGTAAGCCCTATGCAGCATGCAGTAGCTCTTGCCGTAAAGATTATATTTTCGAAGCACATGGTAGCAACAGTAAATGCACGAGCGACACTTTAGAGGGCCGCATTTATGGTTGGTGGCGTCATCTTTATTTTCAACCTCATCCTCATCAATCGTGATTTGATCAGAACAATCGTAGCTCTCTTCCAATGTTTTTTTTAAAACTGGCCAATTTTTTTCAAAGTCCAATAGCTCAAGCAACAGCTGCGCTTCTTCGCCTAAAATATAAAAAGATAAAGATAATCTTATAAATATTCAAAATAAAGAACAAAAGAGATAACCTTATCTAATGCTAATTAAAAATTTAATGAAGTTTACCAATTTGGAAAACAAAAATACTTAAGCAATTACTAATAAAATTTAACAAGAAACCAATCAATTATATTTATAAGTAAATTTACACACCTGTTGCCGAAGTATGACAGCAGATTTTCTGTAGGGCTTTTTTTGGAATATTACATTCCAATAACTCAGAAAATCCGTTGGGGTCAAAACAACTTATATCAGAGTACAGTTCACCGTGTGATGCAAACCGAGTCGACAGACTTCTTAACACTGTGTCTAGAATACCATTGTGGACCTCTACTTCAAACTTTTTTAAAGGATCTGTAAGTGGATCATTATTTGCTAATTCTCCTGGCATTACTTTTCTTATTCTTTTGCGTACCATTGGCAAATCTGTCTGTATAACACAATCACATTCTTTCTCGTCAAGAATGGTTGCGGACACATTAATGAAATGGTCTGCAGCCACCTTAACTTGATCAAAATTGCGTGATTGAGTCTGAATTTATGAAATAGTTACTTTGACCATCTCAAACGCCTTTATGAAATTCAATCCAGATGTCTGTAGGTATTTGGACAGTGGCGTGGTTGCTTCCATTATTCTTAGATATACAAATCCCGTCAGTACAGTCTTATACTTCAATAAGGACGTTAATAGACACTGCGCATCATAGCGTGCATCAACACTTAATTTAGTGGAAGAGACTGCTATTTCCAGTACTTGAACGACGTCTGTGTATAATGCTCCTTCACCGTCGCGAAACGTTCCAAAAAACTTTTGAAGAGCATCGTGTTTGGGCCCCCATCTAACAGCACCGATAACACTTAGTCGTTTGTGAATGTTTTGGCCATTTTTTTCTTTCATGTGATCAGTCCAAAGGTCCATTCTCAAGTAGGACTCACGAAAAAACATATCAGCCTTTTGAAGTATACCAAAAAGTATCATTGAAGCTTCATTACTGCTGGTGGCGTCACATACGACCAGATTTAAAACATGCGCATAACACATTGTGTGAATGTGTCCAGGAGACGCTTTTTCTAAGAATGTAGTAAATCCATTGTATACCCCGGCCATAATAGATGCGCCATCAGTACTACCTGACACACATTTAGTAATATCATTGCCATTTTGTTCCAAAACGTTTGATATCAATTTGCACAGATTACTGCCTTTTCCAGAATGTGAATTGACAACACCAATAAGTCGCTCCTCAACTTTGTCGGTAACGTATCGCAGAACTATCGCACATTTATCCGCTTGTGTTACATCTTGAGTTGTGTCAAATTGCACTGAGAATATTCCCGCTTGTTGTACTTCTTCAGCAATGGCACTTTTCATTAATTTAGCGATTCCTAATATAATTTGGTTTACAGTGGATTTGGAAATGAAAGTATTTCTGTTAGCTCTATTCCTCTTATCCTGTTTATCATTCAGCTTTTGTTGATAATTTCCTTCAAATGCACTTTTAGAATTTCATTGTACTTCGTAACAAGAATCACGATTTCAAGAAATGTTTCATGATCCACTCTTTTGTTAGCCAAAACATTGACGGCATCGCAAGCAGCCTTACCTCGATATGGCATACCACGTTTATCAATCACTTTGATAATTAATACTACTCTGTCCACGATCAATCTACGATGTAAAACTTGCTGTTTTCGTAGACTTTGCCATCTTCATCATCAAGGTTTGTTTGGGTCTCTTTAACAACGTGAGATTGAACCTCATCAACAGGCTCAGCATCAGCATGGTGTTGCAGGGTATTTGAATTCAGTTTAGAAAACATGGATAGTAGATTTTTAGTTGTTTTATCATCTTCTCGCAGAAGCTTTATGTTTTTCTCACGTAACTTTTCATGTCCAATTTTTCGCTTAGACATCACACCTGTAAAAAAATAAACACTTGTATTAGCCTTTTAACTACTATGATAGTTTTTATTGATTATTTTTAAATAAGTGTTATGAATGGAAGACCTGCGACTGTATTGTTATTTATGTGAAGTTTGTTAATCTGATTATTTTTAAAGAATATAACTTAAAAGTTTAGAATATACTAATTTTAATATTTTTTAAAATAAACCTACATTTTATTAAACCTACATTATTATTAAATCTACATATTTATTAAAATAAACCTACATCTTCATTAATAATAAATCATTCATATTTATTTTTATAAATTGTGTAGGGATTTCTTATTAATATTATACATACTATATAAAATATAAATAGGTTACTTTTAATTTTTAAATAGTAAAATACCATATTAATAAAAAACCAATATTTATATAAATACCTAATTACTTTTTTTGTTAGATATTTTATATTATATTTATAATATTGTTTTGATTTAGAAAATGTTTATTGAAATAATAAATTATAAAAGAAGCGTTACATTAAATTAAAAAATTCTATATAAGATATGTATAATAAATTGTTTAACGTTTTTATTTAACTCGTTTTATTTAAACAATAATCTATAGTGAAAACAAAGTTGAATAAAGCAAAATCTGAAGTAAATTTCAACTCACAATTTTTTATTACTATTCTAGAAATTTATCAAAAAATTAAAGAAAATACGTTTTAAAATATTATAAAATTTTAAAATGTTGTATTGCTGACTGCCCACCGGGAAATGTCCCGGTGTCCCGGTGGCCTAATCCGCCCCTGGTTTCTATTTATCTTGATGTAACAACTATTGATTTAATTTAGTTTTGAGGACGTATTTTTTAATGTTGTAAAAAGGGATTGTTTTTGATTTATTTTAAAGTTAATTCCAGTCCATTAATGCAGAATATTTAAAGGAATGTTTACCGTAGGATTTTGTATCATATCTTTACACACTCAGTGCACCTCTTCAAGATTTACTTGTGAGTGGACAGCTTATTGCACCGCAAAGAAAAACCATTTATTAAATATTTGATGTAGCTTTTTGTTTATGCAGCTGTGAATAAGTAAACAATTTTCAATTTTGATTATATGTTGTAATTTTAAAATTTAAAGTGTGTTAAAGATGTGAATATATGGGTACTTTTTGGTAGAAATTCAATAATCCTGACTGCTTTTTTCTGCATGATAAATGATCGATAGGTGATTCACTTATGTTTTGATTCCATGATAGAAGGCAATATGTGATGTGAGGGTGAAATAAAGTATAGTAAATAGATTTTAAAGTTTTTTGTTGTATGAAATGTCTTAGCTTTGATAAAATGGCAAGAGATCTAATCAACTTATTAGAGATATCATTATCTCTAATAAGTTGATTAGTAAGTCCAGGCTAACCCAAGTAGTTTACAAATTTTTTGCATCTAAAAGATATTAGAAATGTTAGAACAAATTTTTGAAAGTTGTCAAATATGCAATTATTAGCTGAAAAAAAGCAACAATGGGTTTGTTCGATTTGTAGGAACATATTGAAAAATGAAGAAAAAAGTATTAGTTGCGATTGCTGTTTGTTGTGGAGTCATTTAAAATGCTCTACGCTGTGAAAGACACCTAAAACAAAATTTTGGTTTTGTAATAGTTGTCGTTTAGAATCTAGCGTAACAAGGGGCAAAATGAGACTAATATATCTAATACGGCCCGTCTAACAACTTTTGAAAAAATAACTTGATATTTTTCAATTCTTTTACCATTCTACTTGAAGCTTAAAAAGTATGAGTTGCAAAACTGCAGTGGTTTTGTCACCAGTGATCATTTATTGACAGCACCTATCCTGTCTCATTTTGCCCCGCATACCGGGGCAAAATGAGACAGATTTTTTTTTTAGTAATTTAAATAAATAAAGTTAAACAAAACAGATCTTTAAGAGGATTAGCAAGAAATATATTTTATAATATATTACAGCTATAATCAAACTGTTACTAGTCACATAAATCACATATTGCTTGACCAGTATTTTGAAACGAACAACAGTCCGAATGAGCCCAGGTTGTGCATTTTGAACATTGACTTCACTATATATATATATATATATATATATATATATATATATATATATATATATATATATATATATATATATATATATATATATATATATATATATATATATATATATATCCACTACAAGAACTAATAAAACCATACATGCATATATTAAACTTATCTATTTAAAGCACGCATAACATTCATTGTATTTTGTTTATAGGTACTGCAATAACCTATATGTTATAATCTGCTCACTATATATTTTATATACTACTTTATTACATTACAATACAATAAGATTATAAAATACAAACATAGTAATTATAAACATCAGGCAATTATTTGCTTCAATTTGATTAAATATTTATTATATTTAAATATAAGTTAACAAAATATAAAACGTAATTCTATATTGGCTAACAACTAAACATTTCAATTAACAAAATAAAAAGTAAGTAAATACAGTATAATAAATTCAAATCTACAGCATGTAAATATTAATATTTGCTTTGTTTTGTTGTTTTAATGAATAAACATAATATTAGATATCGGCAAAAAAAAAATACAAACAGAGTGTCTCGTTTTGCCCCGCATCATGTTGGCATCGAATAGCCTAATTTCCAGACTATTTTATTGAAGAAATAATATACCAAAGAATGGAAATGAAAGAAAAAGGCCTAAAAATTGTAATAAAAAAAAAACTTTAAATATAAAAAGCTTTTCCACTCAGTGAGATCAAAAAAGGCTAGGAAAAAAAAAATAACAACACTTAAAAATTCGTAATTTTCGCGAAACCAAGGGATGAAAAGGTTCCTCTTTTACTCAACTTTTTTATTTCAAAGTGACTTTTTTCTTTTTCTTGACGCATAATAGTTTTTGAACACAACTGCATTTTTAAAAATCTTTCAAATAATAATTTGTAGGGCTGGCATCATGTTAAACGCGAACTGTCTTGTATTACCCTGCTGTCTCATTTTGACCCGCGTTACCCTACATGTTGATGGGGAATAATTTAATAATTCGTCAGCCCGGAATACAAGTGTTGTATATGAATACAAGTGTTGTATATAACAAACGTGTTAAATTGAGAAATTTTCATTCAAAGTTTAAAGTAAAAAATGTAAATTTAATTTCATGTTGAAATTTAACAAAGCTGACTAAAATCAGTATAATTTTTTAAGTTGTTAAAAAAAAAAAAAAAAACATCTTCCCCCGTAACTGAGAGCACTGTCTTTCAAATACGACAAATGTATTTCGAAATCAGAACATTTTGTCGGAATACAATTATCATAGATTAGGGTTGTTAACCGGAGGATTTCGTGCAATTCCGGAAAAATAACATTCTTTCGTAAGGAGATTGAGAACGAGAAATTACATTTTTTTTGTACCGAATATTGCAAAACATTTAAAATCGTCCATGTTCATTTTGCAAATGCTACTTCCGAAATGTAGCATTTCGCAAGTTGACAAACGAAATAAAACTATTTTGCAACATACGAAAGTAGCGGATTCGGAAGTCGCACTTGCGAAACAAGCATTTTCGCCAAACGACGTTTTGAAATCTATAAAGAAAATTTGTTTGCCAGACTGATTTTAATTGTAAAAATTAACACATTTAAATCCCAAAATGTTTGTAACGAATTTTTATTTTCAGTATAATAACATATTAAGTTTTTATGGCTTTATTTTTAGAAATATTGATAAAAAAACAAAATTTCTTTCAAAACGAAAGTATTTTGCATCACATACTACGAAAGAGTTCTTAAAGGAAACAAACTTACGAAACGTGCCGTAATAAATATATGTAATGATGTTTTTTGAACTTATTACGTAAATTAAAAGTAAGAATGATGGGGAGGAATATACATGTTTTTTTTTAAAGCATTTGAATATTTTGAAACAGGTTCGAATATGCTTAAGCAAAAAATAAAAAGAGGCTCAAAAATATGCTTAAGCTTAAGCATATTTCTAATAAAATATACCTATTTCAATAATTTCTAAAAGCCAAATTCACGTCAGAAAACTGGGTCTATTTGTAGAAAAAAAATAAAAATGGTGGCTTTGCTTAAACGTTTTTAGTGCATCTTAAACCTGTTCTGTTTGTGTTTTTTTATCAGAAAAAAGTTTGAATTATTAGCTTTAGCTATCCTAGATTTTAAAATGAAAAGACGTTCTAAAAACGCAAATGGGAAACCAATAGGATTTTATCGCCTTCCACGTGTAGAAGCTAATCAGAACGAATACAAAAAACTTTTTAAAACAGTTGGAATATATTGAGATCATGATCACATTTGGTCACAATACGACTTTAAACTAAAGTCACTGTTTTTATTGAAAAAGGTTTGAAATTTATATAAACAAAAATATCTAAATACAAAAATAAACTTCACACGGTTTTGTTGTTATTTATAACGCTACCATTTTTTTCCCCCTACAAACCGCGTTATATGAATTTGGCAGATTTTAAAGGTATTTACATCTACAATGTTGTATAGAAATAGCATATTTGCTTTAAGTAAGTTTCCAGGAGACATGATATAAATTAAAAATTTATCAACGTTTTACTATTGTATTACCGTTTGACTGAAAATCTAATTGTTTACAAATATCAACAACTTGTATATAAATTTAACAATCATTATTCGATCCCAGCGGATTTTTAAACGTGCTTATTATCGAAGAACACTTTAACAACTCATGGGAAGACGATGAGTAATTGAATTTATATTATAGATATAGAATAAAGTTTTCAATAGTTTGTTTACTATTTGATGAGGTATCAACTGTTCTATAATATAATATGTTGAGAGATTTAACCAGAAAAAATCAATGGTGCTTACACATATTTTTAATGTTACTTTAGGGAAGGGGAAGGGTACGAAATCTGACATCATATATAAGGGGACATCATATATAAAGTTTTGCCAAAAAATGACAGATTTTGACAAAGAAGGGA